GCTTTTTTCCTTAACTCCAACATTTTACCCAGAATATATTGGAATTTTTCAGCTGCTGTATTTTTGTGCAACAAGGATCCATGTCCCGTTGTGCCACTTATAGTGAAATTAACATCTGTACATAAAGTTTATAAACGATAGTGTGATATTTATTCCAGCCTTTTGGTTTTGTACTTACACCAAATAGTCTTTTGCGCATAGTATACGACATATTCATCCTTTACGTTTACTACGCCTTCGTCTAAACAAAAACCGACATTCAGTTTTCGAAAATCTTCGGTGTGTACGAAACATTTCATGCCCAGAATACCACTTATTTCCTCATCTAAAATATTTGCAATTTTAAGTAGTTCAAGCACTTTGCTCTATAATTTCTAACATAAAATTCCTGAATATCTTCCATTCCAAATCGAATTATCATATAATTTTGATTCTAAAATAATAAGAATCCCACAACAGACCGCTTACCGGGCACGAAAGTGATGTGTATACTTCGTTTGAATGTCGCGCCTTTCTTTTTTAACGCCCGTATAGCTGCCAAGTACTGCATGCCCAAACATTTTATATCCTGTGAGCCACGCGCAAATATGCGTCCTTGCTCGTCTATCTCTGCGGCAAAAGGTGGATGCGTCCACTTTTCCGGATAAACCGGTACCACATCCATATGCGAATTGAGCATAATTGTTGGTAGTTCAGGTTGTTTGCCCAGCCATGTCATAATTACTATGGGCTTGGTGGGGCCGCCTGGATAGCATATTTGTACAGGTAGACCCAAATCTTTGGCTTGCCTTTTCAAAAAATCCACACATGGTGCTATTTTTTATGCAAAAAAAATCAAGTTTTAAGTAACTTTACTTTTTAAAAAATTATTTATTTAACGTACTGTAATCTACATTTGGATGGACGCTGGGTATTCGCAAATATTCGCGAAACAATTGTATTTCCTTATTGTTCTCCCAGTCGCTCATATTTTCAGCCATAAATTTGTTTCAAATAAAATTTAAGAACAATTAATTTAAATTTTAAGCCGTAATTTGTTTTGTGAAAATTATTTTTACTTTAAGTGCGTAAAAAAGTTGTTGTTATTAACTCTTATTATGCCCACTTGCACTTCAGGGAGACCAATTGCTGAGTAAGTACCTGTAGAACTATTTGTTATCTCGTTGAACTTCTCATTATATCCTATCAATGTGAACAGCATGTAAGTAGGGCCTCTATATTTAGCAGACTTATCTGAGATTAATCAATGTTCGATAAGTATCGATAACAATATCGATGAATACAAAATGTATCGATTAATTTAAAATGTAGAGATTTGGTTGAAAACAAGATACTGTACATCATAAACTATTTCTCCAATTATTTCGGGGAAGATAGATCAGTGTGACGAAATTAAGTTCTCCAGCAGTATATTGAAGAAGGCGCGCGAATGAGTGAGAGTCTGAAACCTCGTTTGGCATCGGACGGCTCGAAGAGATTCTTCCTGATTTTGACGGAGCATTATTGGAGGATTGGCATTGGAGGATGGGGTCATATGTAGAAGCTCACGAAAGTGAGGAAAGTTCTCTGATTCCCATTCACTTGGATACTTTTACATATGACTCACGCAGCTCACGACTTTCGGTCTTAGACCAAGTATCTCCTGGGTAGCCAAAGAAGATCCGTTTGAAGCAAGCTAAAGTGAAAAGGCGAACCATCCCCCGCTAGAGTTGTGCGCTGGGTTTGGGAGCCGCCACGTAGAAAACGCCACGAAACGAACTAACAACAGCCTCGGAAGAGAAACCCCCATTTTGATGACGACCGAGTTAATAATTTCCCTTGTATATATATACATATATATGTATGTATATTTTATAAGGACTTCGACTTTTCCTTCGGGGTGTTACAAAATCCGTTGCAAATTTAATATACCCTGTTGAGGGTATAAGTATCTTTCCGATAATAAATATATATCGATATATATATGCATATCAGGTCAGCGCTATCACTTTCGAATTGCATTTTTTTTTAAAGACGTAATGTTAACAATTGATAAGGAATGATTTGCATATATTTAGCTCAGGATAACCTTATCACCATCATATTATCATAAACAGTAATTATACAATTAAACTAAAATCCAGTGATCGTTAAAAATGTTTATTTAGACTTAATTGAATGCATTTACTGCATATGCATATAATACAGTTATAACCGATTTTTATACCGTAAAAAATGATTAGTAAAGCTGTAAAGTAAATTAAAATTTTATTTTTCATTAGGACACTTTGTAAAATTATTTCACATTTAAACGGTCGAACAAGGTATTTTGAGAGTTTTTCGATTCTTTTTATCATCTTTTCTCATTTTTGATAACTGAATGAATAGGTCTCGAAATTTTTGCTCATATCATTAAATAATAATAAAATTTTTAATAAAAAATGAGAGAAGACTTTAGAAATTCCTTTTAATCAACCCAAGTTATACACAAATGAAGAAGAAAGGTCGATATAAAAATTTGTTTGATAACCCTACGAAGTTGTAACCACATGCAGTTTATTAAAATTTTTTGGCTTCAGCCAAGTTAATTCGGACCTCTACTGTTAACGATTGAACTGTCTAAAGTAAGCAGTCGTCCGGAAGCGGCCAGCTTTGGAATTGTAGAGTTGTGTTCCAACAGAAGGATACCAGGTTAATAGTGACTCGCTAGAAGTTTCGGGAGCTTGTTTGAGAGGTTCTTATGTGGCCACTCTATAATCCGAACCCGACATTTAGTGATTATTATCTGTTCCGGTGTAAGACGAATAGTTTATGAAAATCGACAAAATCACTGTTTTGGTTTATAGTCAATAGTTGCTATGCCGACATTATGATATAACCTCCATAATGGCAATTAGTCATCGAACAAAGCTGAGCATATTTAACCTAAATCGGAACATTAAAACAATATTAAATAAAACCTAAATATGTTTTATAAAAAGTAATGTTTTTTTTATTAGACTTTGCATGTTTTCGCATTGTTAAAAAAAAAAAAATTGTTCTAGTGAAGACACATATTAAACTGCACTGATATACTTGTATGCAATATATCCCTCATATATATTATGCTGTACTATTTAAAAGAAACTCGTATGCTCTCATGTACCATAAACTAAACTGTTCTTATAAACATATAAAACCGTTAAAACTATGAAATGATATTGGCATAACATTGAGAATACATGTAATGTCTTCTCTTGCTTTTGTCCCATTAGTTTCAGTTTTATCATAAATATCATGTCAGCAATATACGGCAGAATTATTGCATATAATAATCATACAAGCATAAAAAGTAAATTGAAGTTAGGGGACAGCGGAAGTTTATGTGAGGCGTAGGAAAATATTGACCGATTTTATAGATTTATCAAGCCATATTGTACTATGTTACAACAAAATAATAGGTATGGCATGGGTATCTAATATCTGATATAAAATTAACCGGAGGATGTATATTATAGATGTATTATATTACGGACGCTGCATTTTATATCTCGAGATTCGAGAACAAAAAAATTTTCGTTCACCGGAATTCGCTTTATTGTTTTTCAAAATATTCTCCATTAAGCTCTACACAATTATGCCTGCGTTTGAACTCATTTTCGAAGCACTTTTGCCACCTGCATCATTCAACTTTTGTTGGATTCGGCTCATTTTAGAACACCCAAACAAACGACTGCTGTTTACTATCGTACTCATAGTCAATCATGGATTTAGATTTATCACATGTCACGATGTCAAAGACGTGTTTCGAAGCATCGCTATCGTACTTCGTTAACATATCTCACGGCCAATCGACACCAGGCTTTCATTAAGCGATTCATAAATTGTGTTGGGTTCAAAGTCAACAAATATTTGTTACAGTAAAATTTTCATGCAATATTGAAGTCCCACTAGTGTCTAAAGTTTTCTCTTTCTCACAATAGGTCACATGACGATCTTGCTCTATTACTTTGCATACAGCATCATTAGATACCGGAACAACAGCTGATTTTAGACGATCTTACTGCAATTTGTCTTGGAGTGTTCAACGAACTCGATTGAATTCACCATTCCATTGATAAACACTGGTTCTTGCAGTGGTCCTTGATAAAGCTTCATCGTTAATGCACTCTTTATGTCGAAAGTTGCAAAAAATAATCGCTCGAAAATGTTCGCGATTTAATTCCATTTTTTCGTCGAGAAGAATATTTTAAGTTACTGTAAACAGCACAATTAGCGGTCGTTTCGTAAAAATATTCTGAATATACCACCAAAATGTCAAACGTTACCATAAAATTGTAAATTTCCAGATTGTAACACTAGGGCTGCCAAATCTTGAAATATAAGAGTCAACCTACGTATAATACAAATCTTCATTATGGTATTTGAGCCAATACAAGCATGCTAACGCTTAATGTAAATGTCCTTAGACTTGTACACGTAATAAGATTATGCTGGATGACCTTCAGCTGCTTAAGTAAGTATGGTACACCTCAGCAGTGCAATGCGATAAAAAGAGTAATAGTTTGTCTCAAATATTGTATTTCTAACTGAATTTTGTTAGCGGAATCGTTGTGAATGTTGAAAAAGGTTTACCGTGATTCAGTTTATCAGAAATACAAGTTTATCAGTGACACAAAGCCTTCAAAGAAGGTCGAGTTGATCGTTGATGAAAAAAGTGAAGGATATGGTGCTTGAAAATCGATACACAGAGGCCAGAAGAGCTCGGCATCTGAAAGCCATCCCAAAAAGTGCTTATGGGAAGTGTTTCGAGGACTGAGGAAATTGTTGGCATAAGTGTATTACATTTGGTGGGGATTACTTTGAAGGCGACAAAATAAATAATTAAATATTTTGTGTTATATTTACAATTTCCGCGTATTTTTTCGTCACAATTTATAATTTTTATTTCAAATTAAACATAGGAAAAAAATTGGATTATAATGGAATGTTTGGCCGAATTTTTTTTCAATTGAAATAATATATTCAAATCGGAATAGAAATTAGAATTGCAGTTATTTTTTTATTTTTCAACATTAGCAACAGCCGATATAACGTTTTTGTAAATTTCAATGCCCTTTAAGTAGACGTCCGCTTGCAGGAATTCATCGTGATCATGCAACAACACGGGTGTATGATTTATAGGCGAGAAACCTATGGCGGGCAAGCCCAATCCGCGTATATAATAGCTATCTGTGCCGGCAGGAAACACAAGTGGTTGGATTTTAAGGTTTCTGAAATTGGGTTTAAAGAAAGTTTTCGATCTTACAACTTCCCAGAAGTCAAATACAAAGTTTCAAAACATACAAATCTTTCATAGTTTTCTCAAATGCCAACCAGTATGGATTGGAGTTATCAATTTTTGTAGCCGCAACCTGCGGCTCTTTTTGCTCATATACGATTTCCACACCACCGCCAGCTTCTTCGCACCACGCTTTGAGCTTTACAACAAACAATACAGAAATTGTTAGATTCAAAAACAATGTAAACATAAGCTAACTTAAATCTCAAATAGAAAATATTAATTATATACACACTTACAAATCTATTTACGTACCTGTCTATCAAAAACATCGTGGTCTACATTCAACGCTAAACGCATATCGAAAACAGCTTCCATAACCGGTGGCACCACATTGCTTTGTACACCACCTTTTACAACGGTTAAATTGATGGTCGTGACATCGCCAAGTTGCAAAGATTTATCTTTTTCCAAACGATCGACTTCGTGTTGTCTAAACTCAAACAATTTACTCAGAATATAGTTCAACTTTTCGCCTACCGTATTTTTGTGCAACAGCGAACCGTGCCCGGCATTGCCACTAATTATGAAATGTACATCTAAAAGTAATAAAATACTCAAAATAAAAAAATTATATTATATTTGAGATTTGGTTTCGCTCACGCCAAAGACTTCTTTCCGCATAGAAAACTGGAAATGTCTCATCGGCAGATGCAATGCCTTCGTCGAAACAGAAGCCAACATTTAGTTTTTTAAAGTCTTCAGATTGCAGAAAGGCCTTCATACCCATTGGACCAGTAATTTCCTCGTCTGCAAAGTTACCACAATTCAAACATAATTCAGTTCACTTCTTATATCGTTCATACGAACCTGGTAGGAATGTTACATGTACTGTGCGTTTCAGTGTGACGCCGTTTTTACGCAGCGCACGTATGGCTGCCAGATATTGCATGCCCACACATTTCATATCCTGCGACCCGCGTGCAAATATACGACCTTCCTCGTCGATTTCGGCAGCAAAAGGTGGATGTTTCCACTTGTCGGCATAAACTGGCACCACGTCCATGTGTGAGTTCAACATAATGGTAGGTAGTTCCGGCTGTTGCCCCACCCACGTAATTACAACTGTTGGCTTCTCCACACTGGCGGGATGAAGCACCGCAATTGGCAATCCTAGGTCATTGGACTGTTTTTTCAGAAACTCCACCGTGGGTGCTGAAAGTTATGAAAAGTGGTTTACTAATTACTACGATCTGGTAGGGTATTAATATGAGTAACAACAATGTAATATAAGGGTTGTTCTAGGCTGTTAGGCATTGGGATTGGTTTTATTGTTTTGACTGTTGGAGGAGGTGATTCCGAGGATTGTTCCAATACAGGGTTTTCCAATAAGAGTGATATTATTAAAAAAAAAAAAAAAATACAGTAGTTCTTGGACTAGACGAGTATAATCGATCAATTATGTTCTGAATAAAACAACGAACTCGATGAAACTAATTTTCCGAGTACTTATAATAGAGTAAAGTAATATTGATTTCTAAAGCTTGAAGAGAGTCAGGTTTATTGCTAAAGATCAATGACTTCAAATAACCCGACAAGAAGTAGTCTAATGATGTTAAATCACAACTTCTTGGAGGCCTTTCAATGCCAAAATTTCTTGAAATAATCGAATCTCCAAACTATTCCCGCAATAATTCGGTTGTTGCATGTGCTGTGTGGTACGTAGCCCCGTCCTGTTGGAAACAGATGTTATCAAAATCAATTTCTTTCAATTGCATCCATTAAAAAGTTCAGTTCTTGAGTGAAAACAATGTTATATGAAAGCAAGCCTAAATCGTTTCTCAAAGTCCGTCAGTCCCAATTCTTGAGAACGTATGTAAATTCGATTTGTTTGTGAAGGAAAAAAATATGTTGCAGGGATGCTCAATAGAGGAGGTCGATTTTTTGATTTGTTTTACGGATCATTTTAAACAACTTTGCCTAAGAGACTATGGGTCTAAGTAAAACCGGTTTCGAGCACGCGAAACAAGGTATACCATCTCGATGTTTAGATGCACAAAAATTCGTTTGTCGATCTCAATAGTTAATTCGTTTTTCGACCTGATATGTTAAGATTGATACCAATGCAACACAAGTAATCTAAGAAAGTGAAAAATATACCAATTTTACCAAAAATACTAAACCGTATTTCCCATATTTGACTAACGGTGACTTTTTTCTTTGTCATGTCGTACAAAAGAACAGCCAGACGGCAGTTGCGCAAATTTAGAAGTGCCTAATGCTATGAATACAAGTGTCAAGCCACGTAAATGGTAAGTTTTTCAGACAATAGCCTTCGACCTCTTCAACTGATAAAAATATTAAAAAAGTGAAGGACATGGTTCCTGCTCGACTCGCCCCGATAAAAGTGAATTTTCTTAAAGAAGAGTGCAAACAAGTCAATAAATTTTATTTACAACTACTTCACTTTTTTTGGCACAATGTATAAAGAAAGGAAGCGAACTGCTTTATTCCAGCTCTGTTTTACCCACCATAGTCTATATCTGGATGTACACTTGGTATTCGCAGATATTCCCGAAATATTTCGATTTCTTTACTATCTTTCCAAGAGCTCATTGCAACAACAATTAGTCACTAAAAACAAGTCGCTTAGATGAAAATCGAGATGATATCAATGCACTCAGTGAATTATCAGTGAATATAATAATATTTTTGCAACTTCAAGTTCAAGTTCCCACTCTTTTTAAATAAGTTTATTCTTATCTGTATTATTATCTTTATGATGCAATTCGCACACCAAATACAATTAGACTTTCACACTCATAAAAATTACAATTTATTTAGCTTTGTCCCGTTGGAGAGAACTTTAAATACTGAGCATTTGTGGCAGTTTGTTGAAATATTTATGAACAATTATAGGGTTTGGTAAAATGTTGACCACTGAAAACTACGTTTGAACACAATATATTATAAACATATGTACATATATATTTTGTGGTAAATATTACATGACCACAAATGATTTTACTCAACCACCACCAACCAGGCACCGCATGCTCCTACCTGATGGAGTTCTATTCAGGGTTTAAGTAATTTTATGTTTTTCAAATCTTGTTCGAGGGTGGACGAATATTTTATTATTTATCCAGGAATGATAGTAAATAACGGGTGATCCAATTAATGGATTTACTGAGAGAACCCTTCGATGAGCAGATAATTTCACGTTTTGTTTCGGTCGATTAGACACCATGATCGTGCGATATCACAACAATAGGGCGATGATAAGGGCAGTTGAGGGCAGTCCTTGAACGAACGAATAGAGGCCGTAACGGTTATGAAGAGGTAAGTTGAGAATCCTACATTCACCAAACGCATCAATCATTACTGGGGACGAGAAGTGGATTTATGAATATGACGTCGAAACTGTGCAATAATCTAGCGAATGACACTTCAGAAATGAGACGAAATCAAAAACAATTACATTTACAGTAGACGATGAAGCCATTTCAGGAGAGGCTTATAACACGGGGCTTCCGATTGGGTAATAACTCAAAATTAGTACGATCTGAAGATGCCACCTCTAAATCTTCTCCTTAATATCACATACTAAGAATTAAAATAACTATTTTGTCTGAACAAGGAGTATACATTATGACAAAAGTACCCGGAAATTGTAAACAAAGCACAAAATTTTTAATTATTCATCAATATTTATTTTGTCGCTTTCAAGGTAATCCCCACTTATGAGAAATATTTTTTCAGCACTTTTTGTGATGACCTTCAGCTCCTTCAGCAAATTTTGTTTTATGTCTTCGTCAGTTTTTTTCTGTTTGGGGAAGAAGTAAATATCGCACAGAGCCAAATCTGGTAAATACGGTGGTTGAACAATGGTATTCATTGAGTTTTTGGACCTCAATTTTAATCTTCACACATCTTCCATGGTTTTTAAAGCTAAAGGTGCTCTTGGTTTTGTTAAACGTTGGTCTAAAGAATTTAGAGATCCGTTTACCACAAAAATTCTTTTTACATCTTTGGTGAGGCCTATATTAGAGTATGCTTCCGTGGTATGGAACCCTTGTTATCAAGTTGATTCTGAGAAACTAGAGTCCGTTCAAAAACAATTTTTACTTCTTGCCTTAAATCATTTGAATTGGGATTTCAATTTAAATCTTCCCCCTTACACTAACCGTTTAAAGCTTATAGATCTCCCTACACTCGCTAGTCGTAGGGAAATGCTTGGTATAATATTTCTTGTAAAACTCATCAATGGGTCAGTCTGTAGCCCATCTCTCTTGTCTGATATTAATTTTAACATTCCCGCTCDCTCTACCAGGCAGTTTARACCTTTRCTTTTAAAATTTTCTAGAACAAATTTCGAGTTAAACGAAACATTCCGCCGTATATGTCACGATTTCAATTTTCATTCCAGCACATTTGATCTAACAGATTCACTCTTTACCATTAAAAAAATTATTTTATCTACTCTTAACAAATAACATTTAAAAATTATAATCTTTAATCAAATTCTTAGTTTTGGCTGTTGAAATTTTTGTTTCTGTAGCTGAGCAGCTTAAGATCGCAACGCTTAAAACTCTTTTGCCTTTTATGACTCGGCTAATTCCGCTCGTTCGCGGATTGCGCCCCTCGCGTCGGTTGGGCGGGAGGAGGGTAATCGTTGGGTATTATTATTATTATTAAAGAGACTTGTTTACGGTAACATTTTTGAAAAACAATCAGCTTTATCGCTTCATACCCAAAATATCCACCAAAATCATTCGAACTGACTCGTGAAATATCGAGCTCTCTTTTGCCATCTTTCTAACACTGGCCTAAGAGATTTTCCTTCAGTTTTTCAATTTTTTAATATTGTCACCAATTGAAAAGGTCGAGAATCAATCAGAACGAGATGTGTCTTCAACCATTTCTCGACCGTCTTTGAAGGCTTTGTACTACTCGTAGGCTTGTGTTTTTGATAAAACTGAATCACCGTAAGACTTTTTCAACATACACAATGATTCCGCACACAAAATTTGGTTAGAAATACAAAGTTTGAGACAAATTATTTGTGTATATTTTTATTCATTGTAAAAATCCCAACGCACTTCTGAGTTGTACCGACTTATGAAAGCAGCTGCTGCGCTCATATTTGGCTTAGTAATTAAGGACAATCCTACCAGCTTAGCAGTATATATATTTTTGAAATATCATTTACCCGGAGAATTTAACTATAATTTCCGGATTCTTTTTTGTCACAATGTATACACAAATATATATAATATAAGTATTTATCTGCCAATCAACTGATAAAAAATAAAATCCAAACATCGTAAGTGTAAAAGTATTTTTCGTTATATATACATATGTATGTAGATTCCGGTGACGTTTAATAGCTTATAGCTTCACATGAATATGTGTTAATAAGTAATTATATTTGAATACAATTTCACAGTTAATCTACACGAAGTTTATTGCACTCAATTTGCAAGAGAATTGAATTATTGTTGCTCTTATCGTTGTGACACCACAATTTAACTGTATGATAACGCATATAACAATTATTGTTCTGATAATGCAATGCGAATAGATAGCTAGCATGGGAAAGTACTTAATAAATGCATGCGCAATTGCTAGCAATTACACACATACTTAAGTAAATAAGTTTGTAAGTACATATAATATAATATGTACAAATAATATCAAAGAACCAGAGAGAATTCTTTTGGCACTATTCAACCGATCAAGAACCAACCCACCAGCATATTTTTTTTAGAAAAAAAATAGTAATTCTACAATAATATCTATAAATCAATAATTTTTATATTTAAATTTTATATTTAACACCATCAAATCAACAATATTATACAATTAAACAATGAGAAAAAAAAAAATAAACTAAACATTTGTAACAGCTGGTATGATTTTTTTATAGTATTCAATTCCTTTCAAGTAAACATCCGCTTGTAAGAACTCATCGTGATCATGCAACAACACGGGAGTGTTGTTCATTGGTGAGAATCCAATGGCTGGAACGCCAGCTTGACGAATATAACGGCTGTCGGTGCCACCGGGGAATACAAGAGGCGTGATTTTCAAGCCACTAAACAGCACAAATGAAATAAAATAAATTAACTAAATTAACAAAATTTAATTGATGTTCGTGCTTACAGTTCCGTTGTCGTTTTTTTGAATGCCAACCAGAAGGGATTGGAATCATCAATTTTCGTGGCTTCAACTTTTGGTTGCTTTTGTTCAAATTTTATTTCGATGCCACCACCAGCTTCCTCACACCATTTATTTAGCTGCATATTTTGGGGAGAAAAGTAAAATAAGTTAGTAAAAAAGAAGAAGATATTTAGACACACATCGTGGCAGCATAAAATTCAGATTAAGAATATGAGGGCAGTCTGATAACTACTCGTAAGAAAACTTCTACTATCGAGCACTACTGTTAAGCCGAATCGAATTCACAGTTTTGTTCTGACTACGCGTGGCAGCGTGTGTATACGCGGAATTTAAAAAAAATTAAAAATAGCAATATCGGTCGATGTTTCGATTTTTATTTTTGGAAGTGAAATTGCGTAATGAAATCAAACAGTGCAGCTCCAATGGCAAAATGTGGATCAAGGTATGGTTGGATAACGCGATCGAAGTCCACAAGGTGTGGATTAAACGCTGAGACAATAAAATATCCCATATGGTGCGTTCGCCCACTCCGAATAAGAAGTGCAATGTAGAAACAACGTTAAAGCAGTGTCTGCAACGCAATCCGAAAGAGTTTCTGTTTTGTCTGGTAACCGTCAATTGAGCACGAAATCATTAATTTACAATAAGACGAAGAAATAGTCGAAACAGGGAACTTCCAGCGCCAACCACTAATGGATAGGCTACCATTTTCACAAGGCGTTATTTATATTGACTACTGGGATGATCACAAGACAGAACAAGTACAAACAAGTGAGTCCAGGTATAAGCCAACTTTTCACACTCTGGCAACTTGCCAGGATTAAAGTCAGGGCAATGTCTTCAGGTAAAGAAATCATCTTAGCAATATGATGTCTAGGGCGAGTTTTCACCTGATTTTATTCATTATATATTGGCTGTTGTAAGCGGTATAAAGTCAGCCGTAATTTTGAAAGTCATTATATTAGGTGTCCCTTGCTATTGCGATACCCTTGCCAAATGAAAGTTCTACATATATCTTAATTTAGAGTTTTGGCACTTTTTATTCTTTCGGTTAATGTCATTTTGTGGGTGTGGCAGTGTTTCCAATACGCCCATCTACGAACTCGTAATTTTTTTTTGCCGAAGATGTTCAAGATGTCTCAATTTTTACTCAAGTTGCAGCTTGCACAGCGGCCGGACAGACAGACAGTCCCCCTGATTTCAACTCGTCCTCCGTCCTGATCATTTATAGGTACTATATGGTATACCGAATATCTATCTCGCTTAGTTTTAGGTGAACAAATCTATCATACTCTGTAGCAACCTCTAGCAAAAGTATAAAAAAGACTTCTGCTGTTGCCATGGCTAAATGGCTCGAAAACTCCCACCAACAGACCAGATTTTATAACCGTGAGATTTATTGTGATCGGCGAACAGAAATTTTAGTCATATGAGAAAGTTATCACCGATTTTCTGAAAACGTATTTTTAAGTTGGGTTAATAAAGAAGCTTGGAAAGTCGGGCAGATATTATGTTACAATACGGTTTTTGTGATCAAGGAATGCCAGTTAACTGATGAATGCAAACTTACGTTGGAAAATATTCTATCTTCCGTCTTCTATCTTATGCGTTCTTAAATCCTTGTAGACAACCATCTGATCGAAGGTAACTATGTAACTAAGGGAGAGCTGCTTAAAGGAACGTACTGAAATAATAGTTTTTTCCTGGCAATGCAACAGCATAGAAGAACTTCCGAAAATATTTTTTTTTAAGAAAATATTTTTCTTTTAAGAAAAAATTGCTATAACGGATTATTTCAGTTCTCTCAGAGATTATTAATAGTTTAGAACGCTACGAGGGATTTTCGGATATCATAAGCCGCACTTTTCCTACGTATTAACGCTTATTGGTCAAATGCCACATTTTTTTATCTTCATAAAAGTTTTGTAAACCTCACTGCATTTACTTAGAACACTATTTGCTGATGCTACAAAATATTTTCGAAATACCTGTTTCTCGTAGAGATCATGATCAACGCTCAACGCCAAACGCATGTCGAAAACAGCAACCAACGTCGGTGGCACCACATTGCTCTGCACACCGCCATTTAGCCTGGTTAAATTGATGGTTGTGACGTCACCAATAGAAAGCGAACTATCGTTTTCTAAACGCTTCACTTCGTGCTGTCTGAATTCCATCAGTTTATTTAGAATGAAATGAAGTTTCTCGCCAACGGTATTTTTATGTAACAAGGAACCGTGACCGGCTGTGCCGCTAAATATAAAGTGGACATCTGAAATAAAATTGATAACATAAATTACAGTTTGTAATGAACAAATCAAAGAAAGCATTCCATCCTTACGCCAGATGCTGCGCTCCGCATAGTAAACTGGGAAAGTTTCATCGGCCGAGGCGATGCCTTCGTCCAGTGAGAAGCCCACATTTAGTTTTTCATAATCCTTCGATTGGATGAACACGCGCATGCCCTCGACGCCACCAATTTCCTCATCTGTAAATATATAATTGTTTTGTAGTCAAGTTTATTGTTTGATAAAAGGTTTATCACAAATGCGAACGCGATACGAACAAATCATAAAACTCTTAGCGTATATACTTATGCACTGAGATTACTGAGTTTAATGCTCTTACGTGATGTTTGCGAGCACATTCATATCATACATAATTACTTACCTGGTACAAAAATCACATGAATGGTGCGCTTTAAGATCACATCGTTTTTGCGCAGCGCCCTTATCGCTGCCAGATATTGCATGCCCACACATTTCATGTCCTGTGCGCCACGCGCATATATTCGGCCCTCCTTATCGATGTCGGCACCGAATGGTGGGTGAGTCCACTTCTCGGGAAACACGGGCACAACATCCATGTGTGAATTCAAGACCACCGAAGGCAAATCTGGTTGCTTGCCTACCCATGTTATGACAACAACCGGTTTTGTCGGGCCCGCGGGAGAGTAAATTTCAATAGGCAATCCCAAATCGATTGCCTGTCTTTTCAGGAATTCCACGCAGGGTGCTGAGGAGAGTGATGTATTTTATGAGTTTTTGAAATCATGGTGGTTTAGATAGTGTTTTGAGGCAGTCATTTTTATAATACGCTGGACTAAGCACGGTAGGTAAGTTAGGTTAGACGGCTGATCAAAGATCGCACGTGGACTGTTATACGTAGTTTTTTTGTGAAGCCTTAGGAAAGAATAACTCCTATCTTCGAACTTATAAATTTGTAGCAAATAGAAATTTGCAAGGGCGTTTAATTTTCATTCCCACCAGCTCGGTAGGATGTCTGAAGTTATGCGCTCTCAAGGATTTAAGTCTTGACCACCCAAACGCGAGACAGTCAAGAAGAAATTATTGAGTTGTTTCCATTTCATCTTCTTCCATACAGCATCTGCAGATGACGACTGTTATGATTTCCAGCCTTACTGCGTGAACGCAAATAGGGCAATGGTTTGTAAAAGACCCAAAACTAGGAAGAGCTTTACTGAGTGCAACGAGATCCCTAGATCTGGCCCAGCGCTGGCTAAGCTTCTGCGAAACCCAACTATCCAGTAGTAGAACACAAGAGGATACAGGAGCACCGACCCGCTCCTATACTACCGAAAGCGATTCTAGGGTGCCTTTTCTTGCTAGCTTATTAGCTTGTTTTCTGTGATTCCGCTGTGGCTTATCACTCATGCCATTTTTATCACAAAGACACTCGATTCTATTGATAAAGAGGTTAGGCACCCTGAAGGCTCTATTAATGAGTTCTAGGCTAGTATCGCCGCTCTTCTATCTGATTGGATGGTCACTTCTCTGAAGGAAGCTGCATTTCGAAGCAGTAAATCCAATGCTATCTTAATGGCTGCAACCTCATCTTAGAGACACTACAATAGTCAGGAAGCCTAAAGCTGGAGTTCATACCGGATGGACAGAGAGGAACAATAGCTTAGATTGCTAATAAACGACAAAACCTGTACATTTTTTGATAACTCTGAAGCATATCTATGACGACGGTGCGAGCCGAATAAATGAAAAATAACAGAAATCTTTTGCGAAAGTTAAAACTAATCATATTTTGATTTCTGACGGCCGAGCTAAGAACTCCAGTATTAATACCGAAATATCACTAAAGAAAGACACTATAATGATTATTGGAAACATCTATATCTAACCTAACAACCTGTATGTAATATACGTTTTACAGAGAATGTAAAAAATTCCAGCTACGATTGCTTTCTAATTTCTGGTACATGTGTATATACACTTTATACTTACCATAATCAACGTCCGGATGCACACTTGGTATACGCAGGTATTCACGAAATATTTCGATCTCTTGATTATTCTCCCAAGAGCTCATTTTATAGGCAAACACTATATACAAAACAATTAATGTTATGAATAACTGGAGCTCTTCACTATTTTCTATAAAATTCCAGAGAACTGTAAGTTGGCAAAAGGTAAAATTTCGCTAAAAGCTTTTCAAATAGTATATAGTAATATCGAATAGATGAACAATCGGCTCTTAGCAGAATATTCTAGATATATGATACCACTTTTAGAAGAGAAAGGAACAATAGTTACTGATTAAATGAGAGATAAAAAGTCTTGAATATAAATGTGTTGACGAGGTTTTTTAGAAATGTTTACTAAGAGTAGTGTTTAAAACATTCTGAAAGGTGTGGCGAATCAAATTAAAAAGCTTTAGGAATGGGGAAGATGCTCTGGTAATAGTTTGTCAACTAATAGACCTTCCTAAAGATAAGTTCAAGTTTTTTTCTCTATATACAACGGTCATTGCAGGTTCGAGAGGCACTTATGTAATATGGTCATTAAGGTGATTAAAAAAAATTTTTTTTTTTTCGTTTGGTACTCTGAAATATAGATAGTGGTACTCTCCAAGAATGAGTTCTTAATTGTAACGGGAAGGTCCCCCTACTTACAATTTTCGATTTTTTCTTATTATCATATAGAAAACTTTATATCTCGCTTCCAACTACTCGAAAAAATATCTTGTTCCTTAGATTTTGTAGGAAATTGAATGCTCTACAAAAAAGGTCTGTACGATTTTTTCGTAAACCCAACCGTTTAAAAGATATTAACAGTTAAAGTTTGATTATTTTTGGGAATTTGTTTTTTTTCTTATTAATTTTATAACTCAATGAACTAAATTATTATTAATGATGAAACTTATTGGTTTTTGGAGAGGCTTTCTGAGAGGTGCCTAGGAACCTATTTGTCAGAGTACCAAATGAAAAAATAAAAAAAAATTTTTTTTTGATTCACCCTAATAAGCATTGATGTTTGACGATGAATATCTCGTAAACGTAATAAGGGACCATTTTTATAGAGCAGTAAATTTCCTACAAAACTATGACTAATTGAGAAGATTTCTATCATCGATAAGACAGACAAATGGTTCTGAACAGCGCCTAGAATTTATGGAAGTTTTGAAAACCAATAACCCCTCAATACTTCTTATAGAACACAGTCGCTCAGGGTGGATTATAAGCAAAGTATTTATGTACAATTAAGCACAATTTTGTTTTTGTACTATTTTCTACACATTCTTTACAGTTTTTTCATAACGATCAACAAATTTAAGTGGCCATTGGCACACATTTAGACTATCGCGATATTCCCACGACAATTACCGAATTGACCTAAATTTGTTTCCGGTCAGGGCATACTATTCCAGCGGCATTTAGCAAAAGCTTATGGCTAATGAATTATATAGTTACAACAACAAAGTAAATAATGGAAAATCCCATTGGATCAATTTTGCAGTGTGCAGCGGTAAATGTCGTTTTTATGCAAAATATCGGCACACTTTGCTATATTGAATAGTGCTCATGATTGATCCAAAAACCAAACATACAAGTACAGACAAGAGGCGGACGCTTCTAGCTAAACCCCATATTGACATTATTAAGTTGCTCACAATTAAAAACAAAGCAAAGAAATGGGTGACACTCGAAGCTTTTTAGGATAACATTGCGATCGTTGCGACAAACGTCAATTTCTATATGGAAAACAGCAATATCTCGGCGCTTTATCGTTTCTAGTAAACACATATTTTTGGAAAAGTGTAGGAATTTTACACATTTTATATTTGCGATAAACGCCAAATCACCTTCTTATATAGTATTGTATTAAGTAATATCGGAATGGGCACAGTCTCACAAATCAGCTGTGTTTGCGTAGGAAAAATGTTTTTTTTTCTATTACTACACTTTCTCTAATATATTTGCAAAATACACAGAAATCGCGACGGCTCTTTTAATACTGGAGAGTTGGACCTATACGTCAGAGTATTTAAGCATTTTGCGCCGGTCGATAAGCAGCCATACGCTTTACGAGTGCTCATACGAAGCTATGAGATCTGCGAGTATAATGCCGTCAGTGTGTAATGTACCCTTTAGGGAAAGCCACTAGTTGCCTGTCATGTTAATCGAACGATTTAACTTCAGATGACAATATGCTCGTATTAATTTTTCTAAAATTAAGAACAAAATATTAATATTAAAAATGTAATTAATTAATTAGGTTATACAAGTACAAAATGTATAAATGTATATTATAGAAAAATCGCGTATGCGGGAAATGTTTTACGGATTATTCTGAACAACTTTGTCTAAAAGGCTGTGGGCCTAAAACCATTTTCGAGCGAGCGATTTTAAGAAGAAGTTTTTTTAGCGATCATAAAAATGTGTTCGTCAATTCTTGAGACATCGTGTTAAATCACCATATAAATATTTTATTTATACAATTTGTCATTATATACACAGTATAACATAAGCGAATCAAATAGCCGAACAATCACGAAAATTAATTATTCAATTTTTGACATGGTCCAATGTAGCATAAAATGTGTAAGTATACCACCATGTCACTTCAAAATATTGCCCAATTGACCCACCTGGGTCTCAAATTTTTGCCGGGTTATATGCCCCTAACTAACATGGCAGTTAAACGTATATTCACACGACACGAACAATTATGAGATCAGTGAGAGTTATAATGGGTGGCTGTGATATTTACTCATTTGTATATTTGATAAAATTCACATAAGCTAGAACTTGATTTTGGTTGGGCAGCTTGCATGTTTTGCAAACCGATATTTCTGTTTATTTGACATCTATATACTTTGGTGGTTCGATATCGGCTGTTCCGACAAATTTAATATCGTTAGTACTATAAAAAAAATCAAAATCGATTTTTACCAAAATTTCGGCATTAAATTATTTATAAAAAATTATGTATAAATCGATGAGAAAAAATTTCGATTAATTAGTAAAAGTTTTAAGAAACTCGTGTTAAAATTTGAGATTAATCGTTTTAGACGTTTCGAGTGGTCAGCGGCTTTGACCATTTTGAGAAAAACGCGTTTAATGTTTGGCCCTGTACTTCCAAGCACTTTGAAACGCTTTTTCAAATTTCCTTGTATCTTTGAAAATACATATTCACCGGAACGATATGAAATTTTCTATATGTATTCTTAAATAAATGTAGTACGTTATGAAAATAAAAATAATTCGTTTTTTTTAATTCTAACTGTGTAGCTATAACACCTTAAATATAGGTACATAAATGTAAGTATATGCATAAATATATTTTTTAATACATGTATCCCACCAGTGAAACTATTTTATTTTTGCAATTTTCAATAACCATTTGTTTTTGGACCACCCGCTACTCATTCATACTCCTCTGTTTTGGCTTTTCTCATTTGAAAGCAGTATTTTGGTTTATCTATGTATACCCTAACGGCAACATTTGAATTATAAGCAAATATCTATATAAATATGTATGTATGTATGTATGTAGTATATACATTATACGATTATTTAAATTCCTTAACAAATCTTATCAGAAGAGATTTAGAGAAGCGTGAAGGTGATATGGATCCATAAATTTTTACTCTGCCCTCAGACATCTTTTATGTAGTTATTACTGGCAAATAATAACCGAAAACTATAAAATTTAATTTTGTACATATAATTCTTTGCTAATTATGTATGTATTTATGCGTATATACATACATATAAACATATGTACACAGCTACCACCTTTCTTCTCAAAATAAAAGCAAACATTACAAAGCATTTAACATACCTTTGTTCACCTTTGTTTTTTGCTTTTATCAGTGTTATTATTATTTTGGATTTTTGTTTTGTTGAGAAAATGCAAACCGGCATTCATTACATTGAGCAGAAACAAAAACAACAGCCACCTGTAAACATTTACTGCTCAGTGCACGTAAGAAGCGACGTGAAAAATATTAGATATAGAGAGAGCATGATCGCATTAATAAATAAAACGAGTGTTTTACTCTTTGTTCAATACATTTTCAAAACTTACCTTTAAGAGCATTTCTCTTTTATTTTGCAATCAAAGTGTAATTAATTATTAAGTTATTTTTAAATTCAAATTTCGAAATTTTTACAGTAAATTCGTTAGTGTTATGAGAAAATATAAATTATTGGTTACTTGTATACGCTGAACAAAGTATATTAAATTTGCCACGAAGTTTGTAATACCCAGGAGAAAACATCGAAGACAATATACTAAGGTTGCCTTTTATATTTAGTGATCCGAAAACTCACAATTTTATTGTAAAGTGTGACATTTTTAATGGCATGCACACTCAGACCTTTTTAACACACGAACGCTATTTAGGTTATTTACAGTAATTTAAAATATTCTCTAGCAAAAAATGGAAAATAATCGCGAACATTTTCGAGCGACTGTTGTTTACAGCTTTCGACGAGGATTTTTGACAATGAAGCAAGTTCGATCAAGAACCAGTGTTTGTGTTTATGGTATGGTGAATTCAATCGAAGTCGTAGATTACTCCAAAACAAATTTCGGGAATGTCGCCCAAAATTGGATTCTACATAGTTTGACAATCGCTCAAAAAAAGGGTCGTGTGGATTAGTCGCAAGAAATGTTAAAGGAGATAAATCGGCAGTTAACAGTATGAGTGTTTCAAGACGAGCCGAATCTAACAAAAGTTGTTCACGCACGAAGCACTTCCAAGCAAAGGGTTGTCCGTTTTTTAGAAAAACCTGGACATGTCGCAACCATGTCATTGGAACAAGGCTGGGAAGCCAACCGCTGAAGACAGATCACTCTTCATCACGACCATGCGAGTTCTCAAATATCGACTGAAATGGATGATGATTGAAATCGAGTTCTTGTAAGGATCTTTTTTTGTTTTTTGGTTTTGTTAACGGTATTATAGCTTCGATGCAACCAAAGTCAACGCCTTTTTGTTTTTATATTAAACCGCCTAAACTCGCGACTCCGCTGGCCTCTTCGTGTTATGTATATAATTAATAATGATTACATTCGTTGAAATTCGATTTTATTATTCCATCAATTTGCAATCGAGGTCGATTAAAATAAGTAGAGGAGCTTCCAACTATTAACTTTAGTCGTACGATTTATTTAACACAAAATAAGTTTCGGCGACTACTTCTTCATGGTATTTTAATTTCTTTCCTGACAACGTTCTATTGAAATCTGAGAATCTTAAAAGGTCGCTGCGGACCAGATGCGGAGAAACAGTGGCTGCGGAAGCGATTCTAAACTCAATTCGTTCTATTTTGCGATCGTATTCATTGGTTTAAGACACAATCGATTGTCTTGATACAGCAGGAATTCTTCTTTTTCGAATTTGTAATTTTTTTCGCGGCACAAACGTTCCGATAAGGTTTTAGAATAGTCGATGTTGGTGTTTTTCAAGTCAGTAGTTGAAGGTTATTCCAAAATATAGGTGCCCAGACTTTGGTACATAACAATTGCGTTTTTCCAAGTTTTGGATTCCGTTTATTGTATGTGGTCCACTTGAGTCATTGTCGAGTGACCACGGGAACGAAATGCTACAGCTTTGTTTTATTTATTGACATATATATGGAATCAAAAAACACGTATTTTGCATTGAACAGCCCCGAACGCTGATAAAAATCATCGTCTCCATGTTATTTCGGCTCGTCTCCTCGAAATCGTTAGTATTATATGGAAATGACATATTCTGTTTTTATTCTGAAGCGATTTGATTATGCTAAAATATTGTGATTTATGTCAGTTGCTGATCGATTTACTACTCTCAAAATTTTGACGAATTGAAAATAACTACAAATCATTTTGTTCAGATTGGTACATAACTATACTTGAGAAGCACCATAATCTGATTACATTGACGGTTTAAGTGCTACTCAATTGTCCTTTCGAAATATAACTTTAACTAACCAGCCATCATTTGAAATCGGACTACAAAAAACCCTTTGTTGCACGTCTTAGATGTTGTCTATATGTCTCTAGCAAAAACTCAAATTAGATAAAATAAACATATTGTTTTATTATAAATTATATTATATATTAAAAGGTATATTATTGCAACATAGCCAATAAGTGCGAATCAACATGCCTTTTATCAGTTTCATCCGGATAAAAAGCAAGCGTTATCACTTGTCTTAAATGCGCTATCAGATAATCTCTATAATCTGCAGAAACTGCTGAGTAATGTTATGTAGATATTTTAATTTATTTTGAACCAATACATACACCAGTGGAAAATTATACGTGCCACGTTATTCAATTCGAAAACCACAAAAACTAAACCAACCAGTTGCACGAGAGCTTGTGAGGTAGTTGTCTATAGTTGCAGTTGTAGTAGTAAATAAGGGGCACATAAATTTAAATAAATTAACTAAGTAAATCCGTTGATCAAACACAACTTGTTGAAATTGTTCTATTTGTATTCATTCGTTGTTGCAGTTGGTCTCACCTACCGATGTATAGTATGTATAGAAGTGATAAGTGCATGATGACAGACCGCGTAGGGAAGTAATGGACTTATGGAAAGGTAAATCAGTTTTAATCAAGTAAATTTTGGAAGTAATTAATAGTAAATTTATTTTATAGAGTTTATAGTTTTAGGAGTTGTTGGCATATCCACGAGAGTAGTTCTTAAATTAGACTTCAAATGAAGTGACGACCATTTTTGTTGGTGAAATTTGCTGTACTTTCAAAGTAGTAGCTACGCTTCTTAAAATTTCAAACTGAAGTTTTTATTAATTAACTATTTTATCAAAAAAATATATAACTTATTATGATTCAGCAAATTTTATCAGTTTAAGTCCCACTTTTAACTTATTTCGATAATTTTTTCCAGACTCGTTGGAATGTTTTATCATAAGTAGTTATTTCCTTGAATGGCAAGCTTCGAATCATGATGAAATACATATTAGGGTTACATACATATTTCTAA